CTTGAATTTTTTTCAGGAAATGGAGTATAGCAGGAACTCCAAGAAGGAGAGACATGTGCTTTGGTCTGATCCCAAATTAGTGGGAGCAGCCCTTAGAGAGAGAGGCAGTGAGGCTGAGAAGAAGGAGCCCCCACATCCAATCCAGAATGGGCTGCCTGTTTATGTTCTTAAGTTCAGCTACTGACAGATGCCATAAGATACCTTTCCTCTCTCTCTGGGACACGAAGAGTATTGTTCCCAGGTCCTATCTCGGTTGCTCTGGGCTCCTCTGAATTTGATGGCTCTCAGCACAGAGCCAGGGAGAGGAGTGAGAAGCAGGATTCTTCTAAGTGTTTTTGGAAACAGCTCCCTTGCCAGTGAGCATGTGCGCGCCTGTGTGCAGCTCTTCTGAACAGTTTATGGCAGAGATCGCCACTACATCTCTATTGGGTCTGGTATCATACACCAGAGTTCAGGATCTTTCATTTTTCTCCTATCCAGAGAATTCACGACCTCCAAAAATCTGTGGTTACTAGGAGAGCAAGGCACAGAGGACCTGGCTTTGCTACAAAGCATGAAGGCTGCTGACTAGCCCTCAGCATGGTCCTAGGGTGGTGAGAGAGTTCTCAGGAGGTTGGGGACTCGAGGCCTGAAAGTCTCCTGGAAATGTGCCTAGAGCAAGTCAAGACATCTCTGTGGAGGACCAGTGCCATAGACGAAAGAAGAGGTCATAAGACACCCAGGGTGGGGGTTCTATGTCCGGAGGATGGGAGTCCTCTTCCCTCTAGCGTGAGTGCTCCTTGGGGCTCACAAACCTTTGGAAATATTCATGTGATGTCCTAGGCAGGGGGTCAGGTTAGTCATTGCGTTCATCCAGTTGCCAGCAGGGCTTCCTGTGTGCCCAGCAGGGTGTCGGGTACAGATGGCACCATTCTGACAAGTGACATCAGGGGGACACACAGTGTGCTTGTGTGGGAAGTGAGGAGAGGAGAGGTTAGGGTGTGCCTCAAGGGGGATAGGCTTAGGGGAGAGACCATAAAGGGCGGTTAGAATTTGAATAGGGGGAGCAGCGTGTTCCGACTGAACACCCACTGCAGTGTGGGGTGCTGGTGTTTGAGGCCCGGTGGGAGTCCACTGTGCCTGTGCCTGCGCTGGAAGCACAGGCCCACAGAGCAGTAACTGCCACCCTCCTCCGAAAACATCCCTTTTGCCCCAGGTCTGGCCTGAGGAGCATCTGTGTGTCCACCAGGTGCTCCTCCAGGCAGCCTCTGTCTCTTGGCCTGAGGAGGGATGACAGGGAGAAAGGTGTCCACCTTGGCAAGGTGCTGTGGGCTTCGCCTCTGACCTCCCCTCCCTGCATGCCTTGGAGCTTCCCGGGGTCTTTCTGTTGCTGACCATCTTGGGGCTCTACGTTAGGGTTACCTGTGTTTTGAGTGGATGGAAGACCCAGAGTCAGGCTTAGGAGCCTGAGAGAGTTTGTTATTTTTTTAAAAAATTTAGCTCAAAGCCGAGCGTGGTGGCACACTCCTGTAATCCCAGAATTCAGGAGGCTGAGGCAGGAGGATTGCTGTGAGTTCGAGACCAGCCTGGGCTACATAGTGAGTTCCAGGTCAGTCTCAACTACATAGTGAGACCCTGTCTCAAAAAACAGAACAAGCAAACAAACAAACAAAAATTCTAGCTAAAAGTTTTCGGAGAAAGAAACTGAGTGACTCTCTTCTCTGGGACAGTAGGAGGAAGCAGCAGGATGGGGACACAATGAGAAAAGGAGGCTGTGTATTCCAGACCCAGTCACTTCGCAGCTCTCTCCAGATTGGGCCTGACCGATCCAGGCTCTCCCTGCAAAAACTTTTCCACGCTCTCCTGCTCCTTTCCTGCCCCACCTGGGAGGCCTCAGAGCCCTGACTCCCTCCCTAGCTCTCTCTCTCTCCCCAGCCACACCTCCCAGGCTGTTTCTTTCCCCTCTGGCTATGGGAGCCTGGTTTGCCCAGGGAAGATTATATCTGACCATCACAGGGAGGGCAGAAGGCATTGCTGGCCGAGCAGGGGCCCAGCCACCTTAGGTCCTCGCTGTGGACTGCACTCATGCAGCTGAGATATCCGAGTCCCTCTGTAGTAGGCTGAGGAAGAGGGAGCTGGGAAACCCTCTCAGCCAGGAGGTAGCAGGAAGCCTGTCTGGTGCAGCTGTCTTTCCTCTTGAGCCCCTTCCCTGCCCACTCTCTGCAACCCTTCACTCCACCTTCTCCCTACAGATGGGACTGGGTGACCCCGGCACAGCTAAGAGTCAGGCCTGAGGGAGATGGTGATGAGGGTGGAAGAGGCAGGATAGAAGGGACATGAGGGCAAGACTGAGAAGCAGGGAGGCAGCTGATGTACCGGAGAGTGGGCAGTTGGGGCCCCAGGGGTGGGATGAAGAGTGGGGATAAGAGGCGTCTCTGGGTCCAGGCTGGCCCCAGTACTAGGAAGCACACCAGAAAAAGGAAAGATAGGACACTTCTCTGGTCTTGGCTGGGGTTGGTTAAACAGAAAGGAAAGTAAGAAGCTAATATTTATGCACAGACCCTGCCCCTTGTCAGGCACTAGTGAGATGTGTTCTTGCTCATTGACTCATTCAGTCCTCGTGCTGGCCCAGCAGAGGAGAACGTGGCCTTGTGCCGCTTCTGCTACTCTGCAGAAGGATTGGGGTGGACTTTCTGTGGCTGCTTGGTGTAGGATATGCCCACAGGGCTACATATGGCCTGGAGGGCTGAGGTTACCCCTTCCTTAAGTCCAGCCATTGTCCACTGAAGATCTGCTGAGTGCAGGACACACAGCCTGATGCATTGTAATTCTGGCTGGCAGGGAGAAATGGAAGGTAATGTGTCCTCCTTGCTTCCATCCCAGCTGCCCCAAAACTTTTGTAGGCTGCTCAGAGAAACAGGACACACAAATAAAAGGAGAAAATAGTAGAATAAGTGACTGGTGCCGAATAGAGGAAACTACTTCATGAGTTCATCCATTCATTCAAGAATTATTAATGAACCTCATCTCTGGGCCAGGTCACCTTCCTAGGCATTTTAGGAGTGATATACAGATTTTTTCATTGATTCCGTGTTCATTGACTATGTATTATGTACCAGACACTATTCAAGGTCTGGGGATAATGAGCAATGGACAAAACCAAGTCGCTGCCTGTGGAGCTTCACCCAGATGTGGTACTATCCACAGAGTGCTTGTTACACCATGGAACGGCCAACGTGAAGTCCAAGAGGGAGGGATGTGGGTGCTGGGCTGGTTCAGGAAGAGGGAAGACTCGGGCTGGCTTTTGAGCAATAGGTCAGATTTGGAAAGGTAAAATGTAAGAGTGAGGACATTGTGAGCAGAAGCTCAGAGGACAAAAGACACCCGGGCTCCTGACAGGGTAGAAGCTGATAGCTGAGATGGCAGGAGTGTATTCAGATGTAGGAGGCCAAATGGAGACAGCCCAAGTTAAGACCAGATTACAGAGCCCCCCAAATGCTATCTCACTCTGGACAGGCTTTCCCAGGGTTCCAGGCAGAGCCTTTCCTTCTGCTGTGGAAGTGGTGGTGGTGTGGAGAGTAAGGGACAGGGCCACTGTTGAAGGGCTGCTGCCTGACTCTTTGTGGCTGAAGCCACTGGCCTCAGTTGTGGGTGGGCCACCTGGGGTTTCCTGAAGCCCTGTGTCAGCAGGGGAGTCACCCCAGTAAGCTAGTACACTAGCACTTGTGAAGACTGAGCCCTTTTGCGGGGCAGGAAGTGTGTTGGCATTGGAGACCTAGACTCAACCAGAATGAGGCTCTAGATCCCTTGAATGGCCACATGAATAAGGGTGAGGGCATCCTAGCCATGCAGGATCCTAGCCTGCCTGGTGCATGCCCATCCCCTTGGTCCCCTTGGTAGCTGGAGGTTCATGTTGAGAACCTCTGTGCTTGCTTCCTTTCTCTTAAGTGATGCCTTTTAGTGACACCAGTGTAAATCCCTCTTCCTTTGCCCAGGGAGAAGCTCCTTCCACCACTAGTGGGTGACCCCGGACAGGCTCCTTCACCATTGAGCCTCAGTTTCCTCATCTGGAATAACTGAGTAACAGTAGCTACCTCTCAGAGCAGTGGGAATAAGGAGGTGAACAGGTTTTGCCAAGATTATGATTATTAGTGGTTGGTTGGACCTGGAGGTTGCATTTCCTGACTCCACAGTGGATGACTCCAGGGTGCCTTTCTAGTCTCCTTCTGCCCCGGGCCCAGGGTATAGCAGCAGCTGCTCCATTGAGGAGCTAACTGGCTTGGACCCTGGTCTGGTGGCCAGCCCTAAGTAGCCAGTGCACCCACAGCCTCGGCAGGGTGCCTCTGGCGTGGGTGAGAGGACCCTGGAGAAGAGGCAGCTAGGCCTGCTGTTCTCACCAGGTCAAGCACAGTGCTGGCTCAGGGGGGCTTGGTGAGCTGAGGAAGCTGCCCTGGAAACAGGCTCTGTAGGCCCAGGGTGGCCAGCCAGGCATGGCAGTGGGCTCCAGGCATTTCTTCTGAATTCTAGGACCTTGGAGAGAGCATGCAGGGTGGCAACTGAGAGGGCCTCTGAGGCCCTTTGGGCTGGAGGCTGAACAGAGTGGCCTGCCTGCCTGCGTGGTCACTGCCCATGGGCCCAGCTCCTTAGAGGGCAGCTGGGTAAATCCTCTCTTTCCAGAGATGCAAAGGGAAGGAAGAGGTAGAACCCAGCACATATCATGGTGAGGCTGCCCCAGGCTTGGGGAGGAGCGTGTTTGGTGGGAAGGCACTGTGCTTGCAGTTAGTCAGGTGGCTCAAATCGAACCACAGTGCCAGAGTATACATGCAGTTGAATTGAGAGTATCTGCTTGCCCAGTCCCCTGGCACAGGTGAGAGTCAGACTTGTGGAACTAAGAGTATCGACTTGTAGGACCCTGGTGAGCGTTAAGTGAGGAAAGCACCCCTGAGGAGGCTGATTAGGTTGTGACCAAGTTCCTGCAGACTGGCTTTCCACCTGACCCTGCTCTCTCTCTGCGTCTCCAGGCTGTCCCTCTCCTCGTACAGACACGCCAGGTTCTCAGACCCAGCCCATGGACTTGAGGGTGGGTCAGCGGCCTGCAGTGGAGCCCCCACCAGAGGCCCCGCTGCTGGCCCTGCAGCACCCCCAGCGCCTGCAACACCACCTCTTCCTAGCAGGCCTGCAGCAGCAGCAGCGCTCAGCCGAGCCCATGAGGGTAACTACAGAGCCCCCCCAGCCCACCCCCACGTGCACACACACACACACACACACACACACCCCAGCCTTGGCCCTCTCTGAGCTGTGCCCATCTGCCCACAGCTCTCTATGGACCCGTCGATGCCTGAACTGCAAGGTGGGCAGCAGGAGCAAGAGCTGCGACAGCTTCTCAATAAGGACAAGAGCAAGAGAAGTAAGGACATTGCACCTCCATCCCCATTCCCACCCTCTGGTGTCCACAGCTCATCCCTGGGCCTGGGAGGTGAGGTGGGAGTGTGAAAGCCCACTGCAATGCCCTCTGCTTGCTTGGCTCTGCCTGTGAGCAGAGGTGGGGGTGAACGTCCTGAGGTGTCCAGAGGCTTCACAGGTGGTATAGGGCCTCAGGCTTGGCTGTCGCCTGAGGACCCCTGGGTAGGACATTTCATACTGGAGGTGTGGGGAGGGTCAATGGACAGAATGTGCTAGGACGCCATCTACTCCCAGCCCACTCATGGCTTCTGCCCCTGCAGGTGCTGTAGCCAGCAGTGTGGTCAAGCAGAAACTGGCTGAGGTGATCCTGAAGAAACAGCAGGCAGCCCTGGAGAGGACAGTCCACACCAACAGCCCCAGCATTCCCTACAGGTGGTTTCAGGTCCCCACCTGTCTCTTGGGTTGCTCCCACATCCCCTCTCCCTCCATATTACTTGGAGAGCACACGTATATTCACCCCCTTCCCCTCTCTATCACCTGGCCCATCACCCTTCATATAAACATGATATACGCCCAACTGACACAGCCTCTCTTCTCTCTATGAACCCATTTTCCCACCTCACCCAAGGCCCTACACTCACACACACACACACACACACACACACACACACTGGTTTTCTTCTTGCACACACAAGTCCTTTCTCTCCTTGTATCTTCCCCTAAGCACAAAAATATTCTAGTTCTTACCACACGAGATAGGGAATCTCTCCGGGTCTCTCACCCGAGCACCCAGAATTTGGCTTCCGTGCCTAGACCAGACCTCAGTAGTGTGGCCATGGGCAGCATGGGTGGCCCACTGCTGCCACCTGGAGACAGCCCCCATTTCTGCCAGCCCCACACTGCCCGTTCCTGCTGTGCCTGCTTTCCTGGCAGGTCCTGGAGCCCTGGCTTAGAAAGGTACCTGTGCGGAGTGAGGCCGCTGTGGCCTTGGGCATCCACCCTTCTAATCACCTTGGCACTCCCTCCACAGAACTCTCGAGCCCCTGGACACGGAAGGAGCTGCCCGCTCCATGCTCAGCAGCATTCTGCCTCCCATTCCCAGCCTGCCCAGTGACCCCCCGGAACACTTCCCCCTGCGTAAGACAGGTGAGCTGCATCAGGAGGTGGGGATCCTCCAGGAGACCCAGGTGAAGGGCCTGGGATTTGGGTCAGGCTGCGGAGGGTGGCCAGAGGTGCTGCCGCTTCCTTTATGTACCACCATCTCTCATCTGTTACCCAGAGGGGACTGGGAGGGGGGATTAAAGGGCAGAGAGAGAAAGATGCTGGCCTGGGACCTCAAGTAACACTGAGCTCCCACAGCCTCTGAGCCCAACCTGAAGCTGCGCTATAAGCCCAAGAAGTCCCTGGAGCGGAGGAAGAACCCACTGCTCAGGAAGGAGAGTGCCCCATCCAGTCTCCGGAGGCGACCTGCGGAGCCCCTTGGAGGTGAGGGCCAGCAGGGCAGATGCTCCCAAATCCAAATCCCTCCCAAATCCAGCTGCCCCTGTCCTTTTGGCTCAGGCAGGGTCCCCTCTTCGGGGCCTCCATGTGTATCACACAGGATGTGTCCCACACAAGTGCCAGGAGGGTGAGTGGGGGGAAACCCAGACTGTGCTTGGTTGACTCAGCTGATATTTGCCCAGAAAAGGGGGCATCTTTAAAAAAACTACCTCAAGATGCTGGAGGCTTGTGGTGGCTGCATCCTCCTCTGCACGGAAGAAAGCAGCAGGCAGAGCTGCCCCTGGGGAATCCTGCTCAGGGGCCTGGCTGTACCCTCCTGCCCACCCCAGGCCCCTGACTACCCTCCCTTTCTCCTCACCCCTCAGACTCCTCCCCCAGTAGTAGCAGCACGCCTGCGTCAGGGTGCAGCTCCCCCAATGACAGCGAGCATGGCCCCAACCCTGTCCTGGGCTCCGAGGTAAGGCGTTGCCAGCAGAGACTCTCCTAGGCAGTTCTGAAGCTCAGACTCTTTCCAAAACAAGGGCCCAACCCAGCCTGGGGCCACAGGGTCTGGGCAGCCCCCACAAAGGCCTTCTAAGTGTTCTGGGGAAGGTATGCCAGGGGTTAGAGGTCTGGGACCGGTGACCCGTCACCCTGCTCCCTATGGCAGGCGCTCTTGGGCCAGCGGCTGCGGCTGCAGGAGACTTCTCTGGCCCCATTCGCCTTGCCGACAGTGTCCTTGCTGCCCGCAATTACACTGGGGCTGCCCGCCCCCGCCAGGGTGAGTGGCTGGGGCGTCCCTCCCCACTCCGAGATTCTCAGCTTCCTTCATACCCCACCCTGTCACCTCACCCCGTCCCCTCACTGTCCTCTGCTAGAGTCTTCTCCCCTGTGACTTCTTCTTGCCTCTCTCCCAGGCTGATGGTGACCGCAGGACCCATCCGACTTTGGGCCCTCGGGGTCCAGTCTTGGGGAGTCCCCATACTCCCCTCTTCCTGCCCCATGGTCTGGAGCCCGAGGCGGGGGGCACCTTGCCCTCTCGCCTGCAGCCCATTCTCCTCTTGGATCCCTCAGTCTCTCATGCCCCCCTGCTGACCGGTGAGCCCTGCTGCTTCTCACGGGAAGGGACTGGATCCCCGCACCTGCCCAAGGGCCAAGCCTGGGGAGGGACCCGTCCCTCCAGCCCCCCATCCTGTGCATCTCCCTGCTGATCCCTGCATGCCATACCCTTGTCTCCTTCTGCGGCTCCCCATGGCTCCCTTCTTATGCCCCACCCCATTCTTTCCAGTGCCTGGGCTTGGGCCCCTGCCCTTCCACTTTGCCCAGTCCTTACTGACCACCGAGCGGCTCTCTGGGTCAGGCCTCCACCGGCCGCTGAGCCGGACCCGCTCAGAGCCCTTGCCCCCCAGCGCCACTGCCCCCCCCCTGCTGGGCCCCCTGCAGCCCTGCCTGGAGCAGCTGGAACCTCACTTCCAGTTGATCAAGGTGAGAGGAAATTGGGAAGGGGAGGTGCTGAAGGGTGTTTAAGCAGACCCCAGGAGCTGAAAGAAGGAGGGGGCTTAGGGAGGGCAGGAACCTGGAAGGGCAAAAAAGAAGTGCCTGCTGGAGTCCTAGCAGGACAAGTGGATGCCTGCTGCTCCTTCATCCCCTACCCCACCCCACCTTGCTCCACTGGGGCTTCTTAGCTGACCATCACCCCTCCCCAGAGAACGGCCAAGCCAAGTGAGAAGCCGAGGCTACAGCAGATACCCTCAGCTGAGGACCTGGAGACGGATGGCGGGGGAGCCGGCCAGGTGGTAGATGGTGGCCTGGAACACAGGGAGCAGAGTCATAGGCAGCCTGAGGCCAGGGGCCTGGTTCCTCTCCAGCAACACCAGCAGGTATAGCTATGCCTGGGTGCCCCTCAGAGACACCTACAGTGTGGCATTAGATGCGGAAGGGAAAGAGGTAGAACATCGGTGCAAGGATGGCTCTGGGAACAGTGGTTGCCCCCATCAGACCCTTGGGGCTGCAGGCACACCAAGGACACTCACGTATATGCCCACACACACCCCTCCGCATGCGCACACACGTTCCAGCAGCCTGCCAGTCTCAGGGTGGAGCCATGTTTCCTTCCCAGCAGTGAGGCTGGTCTTTCATGGTACCACGCTCACTCCTGCCCTCATACTTCTGCCTGTGACTGGCTGTCTCATATCCAGGAGTGTGGCTGAGACAGCGCTTGGGGCAGGGCCAAGCTTGAGGCAGAGTGCTCACACTGTAATACTACAGAGGGGTTCTCTGACCAACAGAAAATTATCATCTCTCAGTTTTTGAAGCTTAAGTCTGAAATCAAGGTATTAGCAGAGGTGTGATGCCTTCTGAGGCTTATAAGGGAAAGAGGAGTTCCAAGCCCCTCTGACTTGTAGATAGCCATCATTTCCCGGTGTCCTTATGGGTCTTCCCTCTGCCTGTTTCTGTGTTCAGATTTCCTGAACATAAGGTAGCGGTTCTGTTGGATTAGGGCCCACCCTAATCACATCATGTTAACTTGATTTTGTCTGCAATGACCCCATGTCCAAATAAGGCCACTTTTGGAAGTACTGGAATTGGGACTTCAGCATGTGAGAGTGTGTGCGGGTGGTGGGGGCACACATTCACCTATCACATGGTAACAACAGTCCATATTATGTACAGTGGCTCATGCAGGTCCCCATGTTTTGGGGTGGTAGCACAGTCCTTGGTGATGTGGACATCCTGGTCAGAGGTACCAGGAGCTCTGGTGGACCTGGCTGATCAGTCTAGGATGCAGGTCTTCAAGAGGGCTGCTGGGCGCTCATAATCAAAGTCTAGAGCCCAGGTGGGAAGCAGGGCTTAGCGCCTCCTGGGATTTTTCTAGAAAAAGGCCTGTCTGGTTCCCAAGACTGTGGGCATGAGCAGATGGAGCAAATCCCGAGGGGACTGAGGCCTCTATTTCTGTTCCCTCAGGTGTTGCTCCAGGAACAGCAGCGTCTGGCTGGGCGGCTGCCCCGGGGAAGCTCTGGGAACTCTGTGCTGCTTCCTCTGTCCCAGGTTGGACACCGGCTCTTGTCCAGGACTCAGTCCTCCCCAGCTGCGCCTGCCTCACTACCAACCCCAGAGCCCACTTGCCAGGCCCGAGTCCTCTCCAGCTCAGAAACCCCTGCCAAAACCCTGCCCTTCATTACAGGTGAGAGCAGGATTAGAGTGGCAGGGGGAGGAAGAGGCTTGGGTGTGTGAGTCCACTTCTCTTCATGGTAACAGTAGGCCCTTTTCAGGGGTCTTTTTAGAGATCGTCTTACTGGATCCCTGCAGTACCCCATGATGGGGACAGGTGGTTATTGTTTCACAGGTGAGCACTCCCAGGCTCAGGGAACCTGAGGTGGCAAGCCTGTCGCCAAGACAGCAAGCAGACAGTCAGGCCAGGTTAGGGATTCTGAGTCTCTTACCACTGTGCCCAGCCCCGTTTATTTTTTAAAAAAATTATTGCTGTTGCTGTGCTTGTAAAAAGAGCTCAAAAATATTTCAGAAATCTGAAAGATACAGAAGAGAATAAGAATAAAGTAAAAATCACCAACCAGTATTCCATTGTTGCAAGATGACCCCTGTTCAGTCCTGCTATGCTTCAGTTCAGTCTGTTCTAGCCACGTACACAGCATAATCACAAGAACTGAGTTTTGTGCCCTGCTTTATTTAGTTAGAATATCTTGAGCACTTTTTGATATAATTAATCTTTAAAACTGAGATTTTTATGTTTCATCGCAATATTTTATTTTTATTTCATATTGGCTGGACATTTAGATTGCTTCCTGCTTTTCCCCATTTTAACTTCCTTATGCCTAAGTCTTTACTCCTGCCTGGGATTATTTCCTGAGAGTCACAGTGGCTTTACTGGGTCAGGTGGTATGAGCGTTTTGAAGGTCCTAGGTGTCTTAAGGTGTGCAGACGCTGGAGGAGTGTGCAAAGCCAGTCTCTACAGGCTACCTGGGTGCACCGGGCACATAGTCCCTTGGTACCTGTGGAGTATTCGTTCCACTACCCACCCCCCACCCCACGAGGACCCCAAACTTGTCAGATGCTCAAGTCCCTTATGTAAAATGGTGAATTTGCATATAACCTCTACACATCCTCCTGTGTGTGTGTGTGCGTGTGTGCACATGTGTGTGTTGTGCGTGTGGATGTTTGTGATGCTTGACATCAGACCTAGGGCACTGCACATGCTAGGTAAATGCTTTACCGTTGAGCTCACACCCATATGTTGTAAATAATCTCTAGATTACTTATTACCAAGTGCCATATAAATGCTGTGCATATAATCATTGTACTGTGTTGTTTAGGGAATAATGACAAAGGAAAAAAAAGTCTTTATACATTTAGTACCAATGAAGCTTTTCCTGAGTGTTTTTGATTCACGGTTAGGAGAGATGGCTGTAGTCATTGCTCACAGCTCTGTTTGTCTTATCACTAGCCCACTGTCATTGTGGGCTTCCCTGATCCCAGTTATGGGGGTTCCCTAGGAATTCTCACTCCGCTCAGTTCCACTTGGTTGCCTCTGGGTTCGTTACACCCAGAGAGAGATGCTGGCGCTGGGCCTCGATCTTGCTCAGGGCATAGGAGAAGTGATGGCCTCTTGAGCCATCAGCGGCAGTGGCGTGTGCAGCAGGCTGAGGATACCTGGGCAAGTGTCCCAGGTACAGAGTAGAGTAGGGGATGAGGTCCTGTGTTGGGGCAAGGCCGTGCGTCAGGCCGCTCCAGGTGGGTCTGTGTGCCAGTTCCCTGGGATCCTGCCCTGATCCCTGCACCTGGCAGGGCTAGTCTATGACTCCGTAATGCTGAAGCACCAGTGCTCCTGTGGAGACAACAGCCGGCACCCAGAGCACGCTGGCCGCATCCAGAGCATCTGGTCCCGGCTGCAGGAGCGTGGCCTCCGAAGCCAGTGTGAGGTGAGGGGTGGTGTGGGGCTGCGGCATCAAGGGGTTAGGGCAGGGGAAGGGGAAGTGGGAAGTCCTGGGGCCAGCGGGAGTCCAGGGGCAGCGGAAGCCAGAGGCGAGCAGGGGCTCAGGAGGTCTGTGGGCGCTTGCTTCCTCAGTGTCTCCGGGGCCGGAAGGCCTCCCTAGAGGAGCTGCAGTCCGTGCACTCTGAGCGGCACATGCTCCTCTATGGCACCAACCCACTCAGCCGCCTCAAACTGGACAACGAGAAGCTGTCAGGTAGGGGCTGGCTGGCATCTGGCCCATGTCTCCTAGGGCTCACCCATCTCCCCACCCCTGTGCTCTCTTGGCTCAGCCCTGCCCAGCTGGCCCTTCCATCCTCCTGGATAGCCCCATTCAAGCTTGCTGCCCTTGTCCCTCTGCTGCCCACGTCCGCCTCCCTGTACTGTTTCTCTCCCTCCATACCCACCCAGCCCTCTCCCCAGAGCCACCCTGACCCTGGCCAGGCCAGAGGCTGAGAGCATCCACACTCATGTGTGCTGGGCCTCTCCCCACAGAGCTCCTGGCACAGCGGATGTTTGTGATGCTGCCCTGTGGTGGGGTTGGGGTAAGTGTGCCCAGGGGTCTTCAGTGGGCATTGCCAAGAGCTCTCAGCTCTCCTCCTTTTGGTTCTCCCAGGCCCAGCCCCCACCTGCCTGTTCTCATGGTTCTCTAGACAGGGCAGGCCAGGGGCTTTCCTGCCATGCCTTCTGCTGGCTGGAAGCTCCTTGTGGACAGGTATATCCGGGACCCATCAGTGTCTTGGCATGGAGCCCTGAGCCTTGCATTTAGAAGGAACTTGGTAGATGCTCAGTGAATACAAAAGAGCAGGGCCAAGCTTGGAACTTGGGATTGTGTCCTCCATAAGACCCCTGTGGTCAGGCTTTGGCCGTTCCACGCTGGCCCCCAGGCTGCTTTGGCTGCCCTGGAGTTGGCCTGGTTCCCAGACCTTGAACTGGCTGCCATGGTGGTGCTCCCTGTGTCCTCGGAGACCCAAACATTTTCCTGCCTAGCCTTCTGGGCCCCTGGCTTTGTTTCCTCACTCCTCACTGGTTGGGGGCTTGCTGCCCTCTCTGGCACAGCTCCCCCTGCCAAAGGAGGTCCCTCCAGGGAATAGGCATGGCGTGTGGAAGCAGGGGATGGAGGCTGAGCTCAGGAGGGAAAGTGGGAGTTCTAGTGGGGGGCTGTTTGGGAGCCAGTCAGTGCCCTGTTCACAACTTCCCATTTCTTGCCACTTTCTGGTTTTTCCAACTGTTGTTGCTTCTGTTTTCTCCTCCCTCCTCTCCCTCTCTGTCCTCTCTTTCTCTCTCTCTCCAGCCTCTTGCGACTCTCTCTGCCTTCCTCGCCTCTCTTGGTCCGCCTCGCCCTCCCCATCTCCCCATCATGCCCCCCGGCCCCTCCCTAGCCTTGAGGCCCAGGGACTGGGTTTGGGGGGCCTCCCAGCCTGGGCTAGGGGCCCTGAGTGGAAGACAGTGGTGCAGACGGCCCCTCCAGCTCCGACCGTCCCGCAGGGCCTGAGCAGACTCAGCTGGGGCTTAAAACCCCCTCCAGGCCCAAACCCCAATCCCGCCCAGGTAACGCCATGCCCCCTCCCCTGACCGGAGGCAGGTGTGATGCTGCCGGCAGGTGCTGGCCACAGATGGGCTGGTGCTGGCACTCACACCGGGAAGGAGCAGTCCTGTGGGGTTTGGGGGACAGGAGGCCTTGCCTTTGGGCGGTGGGGCACTGGGGAGGCAGCACCGTCTGTCCAGCTCCCTGCCCCTGGGGTTCTGGCCATGGGGTGGGTACTGCCCACTGGGCACTGGCTCCTGTGGGAAGCCTTGGATGATGCGGGCTCTGACTCTGGCCCCCACAGGTGGACACCGACACCATCTGGAATGAGCTACATTCTTCCAATGCAGCCCGTTGGGCTGCTGGCAGTGTCACTGACCTCGCCTTCAAAGTGGCTTCCCGGGAGCTCAAGGTAGGGAGGGGGTTTGGATTGAAGGCAGGCAGATCATGGAGGCTGCACAGGACAGGGCAGTGGGGGCGAGGCCCTGAACCCAAGCCCTGTCATTCCTCTTAGGTACTGCTACAGGGTTTGGGAGGGGAAATCAAAGACTCTAGGAGCCAGGATGCAATTTGAGCCCAGGTGAATCCAGCTATGTTCCCGAATCCATTCTCTTAGAAGCACAGGGTCCTGATCATCCAGATCATTTAAGACCCTGTTGGCTGTGGGCAAGACAGTCTGTCTCTCCAAACCTCACGCTGCAGCCATTGGTTCTTTCCAAGGCTCAGACACTACAGAGAGGATTGTGGCCATGCCTGTGCGGTCTGTGTGCTCTGCGCCAGGCACCTATGGGGACTTGTCCTCAGGTACACAAGCGCGTGCACACACACACACACACACGTGCTGTCTGTGGGCTTGCTGCCCCAGGTGGTCACAGTATCCTTAGAGGCAGTGCTCCTTGACAGCCCTTGTTTTAAAATCCTGGTTCATTGTTCACAAGCAGGCACTTGGGATCAAGTTGCTAAATCACCTAAAGTCTGGATTTCTCCTCATTTGTAAATTGGAGATGAGAATAGTGCTTGTCCTATGACATTATGAGGATGGCATCGAGCATTCATAAAGCTCTTAGCACAGGCCAGGCGTGTGGTCCTTAGTTAATAGCCAGTAGCTGTCAATGCCAAGTGATGATAGCTAGGACACACCAGACAGTCTAAAAGCAGTGTCCAGCCTAAAAGCAGTGATGACCCAGCCTGGGAGCCGAGGCCTGGATACTTTCAGACATGCTGGCAGTGGCTGACCTGCTCCCCATCTCAGAGGAGGGCCCTGGAGCTGTGTGCAGGCTTGTGCAGACATGGGTCACGAGCTGGCTGTTAGATGGGTATGTGTTCTTTTGGTTTTCAGAATGGCTTTGCTGTGGTGCGGCCCCCAGGACATCACGCAGATCATTCCACGGCCATGTAAGGCCTGGGGAGGCCCGGGGGGGTGAGGTAGGGACAGGTCCCCAGAGCCTTGCTGTAGGCTGGACCGAGCCAGGGGCTGGAAGGAGAGGAGGTTGGAGTTGTAGGGGGTATAGGCAGGGAATGGGCTGGCAGAACCCTCTCCTTCTCCCAGGGGCTTCTGCTTCTTCAACTCAGTGGCCATTGCCTGCCGGCAGCTGCAACAACAAGGCAAGGCGAGCAAGATCCTCATCGTAGACTGGGTAGGTCCTGCTTCCTGGTACCCACAGATCTGCGGGCTCTGTGAAAAGAGCCCTGGGCCTGCTACTAGAGACACCTCTGCATGTCTTCATTCTGCATTACTTCCCCAAGTGTCAGTTTCCCCTTGTGCAAAATTTGAAGGCCCCCACATCACAGAGTTATTGGGAGGCCCAGAGCAAGTGATGTGTGTGGGAAGGTCTAAGGACTTCCACATTTCATTTTGAGCGTTGTCTCCTGACTTCCATTGGTAAGTTTTGCATTTCCCCTACATGTAGGTTGTCAGTGCCAGCTAGTCAATTACTTGGGACTACTCAACCATGTGGCTCTAGGAACCACAGTTTCTTGCCCTCAGTGTAAGGTCCTGATCCTCAGAATTGTCAGTGACCTTGAACCCCTTCTAACATGTCCTGGCATCCATTGCTCTGCTTTTGGATCTTTCCTGATTCACTGCCTCCTACCCTGTACAGGATGTTCACCATGGCAACGGCACCCAGCAAACCTTTTACCAGGACCCGAGTGTGCTCTACATCTCCCTGCACCGCCATGATGATGGCAACTTCTTCCCTGGCAGTGGGGCGGTGGATGAGGTAATCACAGTGGGTCCACATCTTCTAGCTCTGTTGACTCTCCAACACTCACTCTGCCCCTGCACAAGCTGTGGCAATCCTGGGAAACTGCTTAGTCTCTCCAACCTGTTTCTCCATCTGGAAATAGGATGGAAACTGGCTAAACTGGTCTTTCAGCCCTAGTACCTTGGGGCTCTGCTTTCCTCATGTCTCTCTTGCATCTGCTTTTCCAGGTTGGAGCCGGCAGTGGTGAGGGCTTCAATGTCAATGTGGCCTGGGCTGGAGGCCTAGACCCTCCCATGGGGGATCCAGAATACCTGGCTGCGTTCAGGTAAGTTCCCAGCCCTGCTCTTCCCCCTTTTCCTAGAACACCAGGTTGGAGGTGATCAGTGGGCATGCCAGCCTGTCCTCACCTAATTACTTGACATGGTAAGCCAGCCTCAAAGGGAAGACAGGACACATAAGGATAGGATCGTTAATAAAGTCTCACATGACCAAGAGCCAATATCAGAGAGAGTGCTGGGAACCAGGAGGGTGGAGTCCGCAGGACTCAGAAGACACAGAAGACACAGAAGGCTACCTGGGGCAAGGAGGAGAAACTTCAGTTGTCCTTAAGTGATGTCCATACTGGGGAGGTTACTCTGAAAGAAGGGCTTTAGGCCCTGTACAGGAGCCCTTTCCTACTTTACTCTGGCTGGTCCTTGTACTGCAGTTGGAAAAGGGAGCCTGGCAGCAAATCTGGAAACCCTTTTCTGGAGATATTCTCCATTAGAGCTAATACAAGAGTTCCTGGCATCTGTGTCCAGAACCTAGGGCTTTGAAGAACACCAAAGTGGACCCCAGAGTTGGATCAAGGCTAGAGAGAAGTAGCTGTTGGGGACCTACAGAGGGAGAGGATGAAAGAATGGGACTTGGAGGCCCAGGACCTCAGGGGGTCTAGTGGGCCTGGTCAGCTCTTTGGTGGCAAATGAGGTGAGCCAACCACGTCTAATCCCTAAGTTTTAGTGGAAAGAGACTAGCTCAGCTGGCTATCAGATTGCCCCTTCCCCGCCCCCCACAGACACCCCCACCCACACACATAGGCCCATATGCACACAGACAACTCCACCTCATCCCCTCTGGTGCCCCACCTTTGCCTCCTTTCTGCCTCTTGCTGGCTAAATTCCTTGGGTGGCTGAATCCTCACGTTGTATATACCAAGGACATGAGTGGCCAGCCAAGGTCAAGGTGTTCAGAGAGATCCACTAGCCCTTGCTGGTAGATTGGGTGGCTTGGAGTCCTAAGAGTAGGGTGCCCTCAGTAAAGTTGGCAAGCATTAGTTGGCACAGACAGGGGCCCCTGGCCTCTGCCCAGGAGCTCTGCACCAGGTACTGGGCCCAGTGTGGTAAGTCCTCTCTCCTTGCAACCTTCTAGGATAGTTGTGATGCCCATCGCCCAAGAGTTCTCTCCTGATCTGGTCCTGGTGTCAGCTGGGTTTGATGCTGCTGAGGGTCACCCAGCCCCACTGGGTGGCTACCATGTTTCTGCCAAATGTAAGGAGGCCCCGACTGAGGAAGAGATGTAGGAAATGTGGGGGGTGGGCGGGTACCATCACAATCTGAAAGGGAAGGCAGCAGTGGCCAGCCCAGGGCTGTGTGAGGACTAGAGTATGGCAATTGGCTCTAGAATCTCTGTGGTCTTGACCAGCACAGCCAGGCCCAGGTCATTTCACCACACCAAGCAAGTCAGGGCCCTGGGAACGTATGTCCAACAAATGGAACCTGTGCCACAGAACTCCCTACCCCAATCGTGTAGTTTCCAGGCTGGCCTGGCCATTCCTCCCGAAGGGGAACAGGGAGAAGCAGCACTGTCTGAACAGTGGGCCACTGGGCCTAGCCACAAAGGAGAGGTGGGGAGCCTAGTGAAAAAGATTATGGTGGAGTCCACAGCCTGGGTACAAGACTCAGCGCTGCCACTTCTAGCTGTGGGGCCTTGTACATGTCTCTTAACCTCTGTGGGCTTTGAGCAAGGGACACCTAGTGGGTTTGGTGTGGAATTCCACGTGAGAGCATGTTACCTTTGAATAATGATTTATAAGGGAGGAAGCAAGCAGGAAAACCACAGAGCTAGGGATTGGGTCCACCTCTCCCACCCTCCACATTCCTATTTCTCCCCATCCAACCTTCCAGGTTTTGGGTACATGACACAGCAGCTGATGAACTTGGCAGGAGGTGCAGTGGTGCTGGCCTTGGAGGGTGGCCATGACCTCACAGCCATCTGTGATGCCTCTGAGGCCTGTGTGGCTGCTCTTCTGGGCAACAAGGTAAGATACTTCCACCTGCCTTGTTTCTATGAGACAAGCGAGCTTAGCTCTTACAGGACTGCCCCAAGAGTGAACGGAGGAGCTGGGATAGGGCAGAGGAATGAGGTCAGCACAGCTCAGGTCCATGGCCAGTCTCCTGACCTGGGCAGAGCCAGCAGCACGTACCTGTTTGGGTTCAGAAGGCAAGGTCCTTGCAGGGCAGAGAGCTGGGCCTATGGTTCTTTAGGGGGGAAGGTAACTAATGGATTGATTTTGTAGGTGGACCCCCTTTCAGATGAAAGCTGGAAACAAAAACCAAACCTCAATGCCATCCGCTCTCTCGAAGCTGTGATCCGGGTGCACAGTGAGTGTGCAGATAAATCTCCTGTGGGCCCACACATGGCAGAACCTCAGGTCCACCACCCCTAGTGACTAGGTTCCAGGGATTCCTATGCCAGCCACGCCAGGGGAACTGCTACTGGTCTGCAGTCGAATTTCTGTGTATTGCCACAGCAGCAATGGTGGGCAGCCCCGCATGACTGGGTAACGTGAGTCCTCCAGGTTGGCCCAGTAGAGCCACAGCCCTACACTGGGGACACACCAACAGGAAGACTTAGGCCTTGTTTACCAAAAGGTCTTGTTCCCATTCCTCCCTTCAGTCCTGGCCACAGGGTGCTTGGGAGCTCTGCTTCCTAAAGGGCTGGGTCTTAAAATAGCCCCCACATTTGGAAAGCATTTTAAAGTTTCAACTTCAACATCGTATCTATTGAGCAAGACCTGTGATCTGTGCTAGGGATATAAGAATGAATAAGAGATTCTCTACATCAAGAGCTGGTTGGGGAGGTGGCCTGTGATGGAGCCCTCCCACGCACCAGGATCTGTGTTGGGATGCTCCAGGCATGGCAGCCAGCAGGGTGAGTGCTCCTGTGGTCCAGAGGGGCCACGTGGGGCAGCCACGATAATTATGAGCCCCAGGGCTGTGTTCTGTCACCTCCACACTCTCCCTTAGTTGGGGGCCTGGGCACTAGTGGGGGCTGCACGATACCCTGTGCCCAGCAGGCCAGGGCTCAGGGTATGTGTGGTAAGTGTGACAGACCCTGCCTAGCAGCAGTGGGCCCTACAGGCACTCTCAGGATCCCAGCACACGTAAGGGAGTGGTCAGAGGTGGCCTTTCAGCCAAAGGGGATGATAAAAAGGCTCAGGCACCCATAAAGACACCCCCTCATAGCCAGGTTGAACCTGCTGTGTTCACCCTTTGGGCTGTGAGGTCAGGGTTGTATTGAGGATAGGGGTAGGAAGGAACACCGACCCCATGCTGAGGACACACTCCTTATTCTTGGGTGAAAGGTAGCTGGGCTTGTTCTCCCCTACATTCTGACCCAGCTTCTTGCTCCAGGTAAATACTGGGGCTGCATGCAGCACCTGGCCTCCTCTCCAGATCTCTGGGCATCCAGGGTACCAGGGGCTGATGAAGAAGTAGAGGCTGTGACTGCACTGGCATCCCTCTCTGTGGGCATCCTGGCTGAAGACAGGTAATGCCAGACCCCTGGACCATGCCATGGCCTCTACCCGCTTGAATCCTTTCTATTTGAAGAAGCTCCTAGAACCCCCTTGCAGCCCCCTGAGCCACTCTGGCTTTGTAACCATGGCTGGGAGGGAAGCTCCAAGGCCCTGCCTGTAGCATCCACACTTGGTCCCTCCCCTAGGCCCTCAGAGCAACTGGTGGAAGAGGAAGAACCGATGAATCTCTGAGGCCTTGGAACAAATCAGCCCACCCACCTTGCCCTTCGGACACAGCTCTCTCCAAGCCTCTACCACCAGCCCCATTCCTGGGTCTTCAGTGATCATGTGGGCAGGTAGTTGGGGCCAGAGAACAGCCTGCCTTAACAGTCAACCCACCCAGGGAGCTTGAGAAGGCCCCTGGGCCTAGGATGGGTCAAAGGTGGAGTAGAGAGGACCCTGAGAGGAGGCAGGCTGGGTACCAGCCCCAGCAGGGCTCACTCAAGAACAGAGGGAGCCCCCCTGGAGTCTGGGCCCCCAGCTGTGGCCTCCATCCCTCAGGACTGCACAGAGGAGGACTGGCTCGGGATGGCCCATCCTTAACCACTATTCTTGGCTCTGCAGACCCCAGACTTTGCACACAGCCCCAGGCTCCATGCAGAAATGTGAACTTGGCCTCAGCCAGGGTGGCCCTTCCTAGGTGCTGCAGGCTGGCTGGGAGGGGAGGGGGGTTCCCTACTCCTGAGTGCGGAGGCAGTCATTCCCTCTGACGCCTCGAAGTTTGCTGGGCCACTGGGTTCTGACAGCCTCTCTGAGATGCTGAGAGCCGTCATCTGCAGCCTCCCATCTGGTTTCTGCCCCCACCAGAGGCCACCTGGTGTCAACCATCTCAATTCCCTGGTGGGGCAGACAGGTGCTCTCAGAGTCCTGCGCTTCCTGATCCAATGGTGGCAAACCTTCATCTCCCCTCAGAAGCACAGCATGACCCCCAGGGAACCCCTCAGTCACTGCCATTTCCGTGAGCCTCTTTTCTGGGGTCTCTCCATCCCTGCTCTGTCTCCTGCCTCACATAGGACTAGCTTGGCTGAGGGGAAGAGGGTGGGAAAGTAGACACAGAAATGGGGGAGGGGAGATTGCCCTGGCAAAGTTTTCAAGGCTCTTGGGGTCCCTTCCTGGGGCTAAGAAGGAAAGTATTGTGTATATGTGTATGTATGAATGAGTGTATGTGTGTGTGTGTGTGTGTGTTCCCCAGGACCCACAGTACCTTGTGTATGTATGCATGTTTTTGTAAAAAAGAAAAAAAAATGGAAAAAAATCTGAATAATAAATGTTTTATTTGCTTTAATGTCTGGGAAAGGGCCTCCTGCATATGAGTGGTGTGCTATCAGAGGGTGAGCCCACAGCACAGGGCTGAGGGGGAACAGGGTCTGGCAGGGCTCAGGGCCCCTCCAGCCCTTACCCTTCCTTGCATGGCTGCCACTATGAACTCAGTGTTGCTGTCCCACCCTGCTGAGAGAAAGAGGGGACAGCCCTGGGGTGAACCCACAGAAGGCGGGCCCTGCTGGGACATAGGTCTGATGCAGCTTGCCAAGGTCTGTCTCCCAAAGGCTCATGAAGCAGACACACCTGAGTTTAAATCCCAGCTGGGAGCTCAGCTAAGTCCGACACCTCCCGGAGCTTCTGTTTATCAGTAAAAAGTGCCAGAATTAGATATTGTTTCTGGCTCCTTCCTGCTTGAATACACTGAGGCTTCTTAAGCATACACTGAGCTAGGATGAAAGAATGGGAGAGGCAACAAGCCAGGACAAGCCCATGCTGGGTTACCAGAGGGAGGCCCCGGCACTACCAGCACCTGCCCTTCTGGCCCCAAGCCCAGAGCAGCCTGGTAAGAGTGGAGGGAAGACAAGCTCGGCCCTTTCCCATCGGCCTCATTCTTGCAGGTGGAGAGCAACTCTGCAGGGCCGGCAGAGGCTGCACCTTGGGCATCCTTGCCTGGCTGGGGTGGAGGGGTGCTAGGACAGCTGAGCTGTGGTTCTCCTATGCCTAGAAGGTGAGAGTCATAGATCCCCCAAGCTGGAGACGCTGCCCCTGCCCCTGCCCCCCAGAACAAAGCTTTGGAGAACAGTTTTCTCAGGTTGCTAGAGAACTATGCCACCATCTCTCCCCACCCATCACTCCCACCACACCCCTGACCCCACTGCCAAAATGCCCACCCACAGGAAACAACCAGAGGCGGTCAGATATAAATGACTGCTGTATTTCTGCTAAAGTGACAGTGACACAAATAAGGCAGAGAACTGGGTGGAAAAGGAGTAAATGTGCAGAATGCAACCTAACATACATGTAAAGATACATGTACGGGGAGCCCTTCCTCCGAGCGAGGTGAGCCTGCAGGCCAGCATGTGGGCAGTTAGAAGAGGGCAGTGAGTAGGGTGGGAGCAGGATGCCAGGGACAGTGAAGAGGTGCAGGGCTGACAGGGAAAGAGTACCCATAGGGCTCCTTTGGTGGGGCAGAGGCACACGGCCCTTCGTTTCCTCATTTGCAGAACCCTGCTCTGGACTGTGTAGATGTGTGTGACAGAGGAATGGCAGCTGGCTGGAACACACTCATGGGAGACCAGCTCTGGTAGAAGGGTGGGGGCAGGGGTGCTGAACTGTCCACTCAGCCCCCAGGCCTTGGGGAATGTCACCTAAGACTGATGACACCTAAACCGGACCCGCCCCAGAGACAACAGGTTGGGGGTGCTGAGGACTTGGGGTGGAGGGTCTCTAGCAAAGATTTCTCATTTGACCTGAGTGCCCAGCTTCCCAGCCCAGCCTCAGCAAGAGCCTGGGCAGCAGGGCGCAGACCACCCGCTCCTGCACAGATCAAGGCCTCACCACCAGACCCCTGAACCCCCTGACTTTGTTGCCCAGGCCCTACTTACAAAGATTTCTCACTGAGTGCTAAGAAAATAGATCAGTGTGGAAAGGGCTGAAGCTGCCCTCCAGCCAGGCCGATGGGCAACACAGATGGACACCGTTTCCACTGCACCCGAAAGGGGATCAGACAGATTCCTGGGAAACCACACCTGTCCAGCTGTGTATTTTCTTCCCACAGTTCTGGGGTCTCCAGGGGCTGGGAGCAGGCCCATGGCATGTCTCAGAGGCTAAGTTCAGGTCCTGAGGACCCCAGGCCACAGTGACCTTACTCCCTGGGTCAGAAGTCACTCAGGATGCTGATGTCGGCAAAGTCCGCCCGGTAGCGGTGGGCATAGAGGCTGAGCAGGAAGGCCCACTTGAAGGAAATGAAGCTCCAGACACAGGACAGGTAGTAGCTGGTGGGGTCTGTGAAGCCTGCAGTGGAAGAGGAGCCCCATGGTGATTTGAGGGCCCTGCCCACAGGAAAACAGCAGGCCACCCACCACACCACTGAATCCCTGCAGAAAAGCCAGAGTGCTGGAGGTCAGAGAACTCCAGGGTATGCAGGCGGGAACTGTGGGCATGGCACAAGGTCAGGGCTGGTGTGTTATCATCCACATGGCTTTTGTGACACGTACTCCAGGATGCTCACAACACGCTATTTGGCATCACTACCCATGGGGTAGAGGGAGGGGCCTCTAGCTACTTCCTGTCCTAGCCACTAGAGGGCACCCCCTTCCAGAGCTGGGCAGAGATTAAAAGGTACCCATCACTCACTCTGGGTCACCTTGTACAGGCCACACACTGTGCCCAACACGTCACATTAGGCCCACTGACTCCCCATCCCAAAGGGCTGGGGGCTGTCATTCTCCCCACTCTAAGCTAAGAAAACCCAGGGATGGGGAAGTTAAGCAAGCTGCCCAGTCTCCAGGTCATCGGCTGGACAGGACTGGAACTGTGGGACACCACCCCTCCCCACCCTCTGCTGCCCCAGGATGGCACTCACTCTGGTGCTGGGTGATGGCCAATGTGAGGAAGGTGCAGAAGGCAGCGATGGACACGGCTGAGAAGAGCACGCCCACGAAGAAGAAGCCACGCAGCCCCTTGAGCCAGGTCCTCCAGTAATCCTGCATGTACATCACGTGCGTCACCAGGGCCCACAGCGCCAGCACACCTGAGGGGACAGATCTGTGGGCAGGACCCAGACTACCACCTGACACAGTGTAGCCCCCCTCACCCAGCTTTCTCCAAGTCACTTGGAATCCCAGGGTCCTTCAGGCCCACTGGGCCACACCTATTTGCATAATAATACTAAGATTAGCCTTTGTTGCTCCCATCCCTCCTGACTGGAGTTTTTCCTGGAGTGTGATGTCATTGACTTGACTTGCCCCCCCGTTTCCCTGCCTCTCAGGATTGGAGGCCACTACCTCCAACTCTCAGGATTTAGCCAAGCTGTCGGGCAGCAGGGTTCTTCCCAGATTTTCTGCATTGGTCTTGCAAGATGAACAAACTCTGCACCCAACTCTTGCTCTTGGCTCGGCCTCATTCCCTTCAGTTTGCAGCAAGGGCAGGCCCAGAACCCTGGAACGTTCCCTCCGCCTACCCTTTGGGCTTGGTCAGGGACTTCCCCTATGATGCCAGCTGCTACTCAGCCAATACAACAGAACACAAAACAATGCTCTGTGCCAGGCAGTGCCTGATAGTGAGGCCCCAAGAGTGGCACAGATATCAGTTCCACTGGCAAGGGTCTGGAGCAGGGCTGCGCTTTCAGAAAAGAGAAATGAGGAAAGAGAAAGACAGCTGCAAGCTCCCAGTGGCTGGCCCCAGGTGTAGTCCTACAGCTGCCACATCCCAAGTGGCAAGAGACCTTTCCTTTTTGGTGATTCTCATATTATTTATTTATTTACTTATTTTTCCTCATTGAGTTTATTGGTACATTTTAGGTAACAGTACAGTTACATTCATCATGGGGATCTTGTACCTTTACATGACAGGTCTTGGTTCTCCTTTTTTTTTCCCCTTGTCCCTGCCCTCCCTTCACTCCCTCCTCCCCTCCCCATTTACAAACACTTTATTTCCATTTTTTCATTTTCTCCTATTTTTTTCTTTTCCCTTATTGCCTTTCCCCTACCCAAGAGACCTTTCAAAAAGGCATCAGTACAGACTGCATGCACAGGGGTTTCCGAAGGCACGGAGGCCTCCAAAACGTTTGCAAAAAGGACAGACATCTGACTGAAAATGGTTCCCTCTGGGAAGGGACAGGAAAGTTGGTGGGGATTGTGGGGAGTACTTTGATGGAATCGATGCCATTTTTATTTCTTAGGCTGGGCAGTAAGTGTAAGGACAGTCATTAAATTGTCTATCCTTTTTTACACACCTCAACTATGTCCCAAGTCTTTAAAAGTCAGGGAGAAAAAGGGCAGGGGGAAAGTAGACATTAGGCAGCTACTACGTGCTGGTGACCAGTTCAATTTTTATAATTTGGGCACCTAATGAGGGACAAAAATCCATGAGACTGCAAACCAGAAAAGCTGGGGCCCAGTGCTGCTGTGCCCCACAGTCTAGGTGCTTCCACATCTACAAATGGGTGATTGCTGAGGTCCTGCCGTCTGGATAACTGGGGGCCCCAGAGCTTCCCCACCACCCTGCGTTTGATCTCACACATTCTCAGCTTGGCCCCATGTGGTCTCTCCAGCCCTGAGATGGGATGTGGCCAGGACAAACACGACTCCCTCCCAACCCACCTAGGCAGGGCCCTGAAGCAGGCCAGAGGGGGACAGAATATAATCTCATGGCATCTGCTTCTGCTTCACCTTACATAATCTAGTGAGTGGTCCCCAAGCTTCTTGGCACCAGATGCCAGTTTCAAAGAAGACAATTTTTCCATGGACCAGTGTGCGTATGTGTGTGTGTGGGGGGGTGTTGGGGTCATTCAAGCACCTTACATTTATTATACACTTTATTATTGTTACATTAGATTCTCATAAGGAGTGCAAACCTAGATAGCTCCGATGTGGGCAGTTCACGGGAGGGCTGGGAGTCCTGTGAGAATCAGATGCCCTGCTGATCTGACAAGAGGTGGTGCTTAGGAGGCAGAGCGTAGCTGGTAACGTAAATGCCATAAAGCTATTTTGCCCATTCCTCACAGGCCAAGGACCAGCATGGGTCTGTGGCCCTGGGGTAGGAGCTCCCCATCTAGATTTTATGCCAGCCACCTGCCCCAGAAGTCTTTCCCAGTCAGTCATCTTGCAGGCATCTGAAGCTTTCACTTGGGAGGGTTGTTTGGTTTCTTTCTGTTTTGAAGGGTTGGGGTGCAGAGAATTGAACTCAGGACCTTGACCATGCTAAGTGCATACATACTCCTGACATACACTCCCAAGCCTATTTGGTTTCTTATAGGCCCTAAGCTTATTGTCACTAAGCACATTCACAAACAGTCAGATGGGCACCTACCTGGGACAAGCTCTTTCACCCTCCCCGCCCCTGCCACTTGGGCTGCAGCAGACAAGCTCTAAGATCCTTCCCATTCAAAGATTCTGAAAGCCAGCTAAGGGGCAAATAAGGAGGTCAGAACCATTCCTCTGTGACTCAGCAATCTGAGGGTTGGGAAATGTTGAAATAGGGGCCTGGAAGGATGCCATCCCTTAGCCTCCGGCCATGACCCAGGGGTTCCCCCCAAACTCCCACTCTCTCATCTTCCAAAAGGACTACAAGCAGGAGGAAAAAGACAGTGCTTCCAGTCCCAGTTCCTTGTTAATAAGCAGGTACAACTTCACCCACCTGGCACCTGCCCCCTACCCTGCTCCCAGTCCCACTACACAGGCCCTCCTCCAGACAAACGCATACCAGTCTGGAGCAGGCTTGCTTCCCCTACCCCAGCTCTCACAACTTTCCTGAGCACAAACCTCCCCACAAGTCTCCCCAAGTGGTCACTGAGGAGGTGGCAACCCTCCCTGGTCCCATCCCACGTCTTAGGCCAGAGGCAACTGCCCCTTGGCCCTGCACTCCTCCCTAGGATGCTCTGGAACTCCAGGAAGTCTGATCTGCACAGATTGGGGTCCCAGCCCCACCTTGGTACAAGCCACGTCAACCTCACCACGTCAACCTTGCCATCACTCTATTCTACCTGCTTCAAGAAGCAGGGCCTCTGTCTGACCTCTGGGCGCAAAATTGGTCAGTTAAAGCGTACCCATTAGCTTGGCTGGGGGTTGAGAGGCCCAGGAGAAGCCACAGGGCAGAGACAAGAACCTGTACTGGGACTCCTCTCCATCTGCACACCCCAGCCCTCTCCCCCTGCTCTGGGCAGAAGAGAAGCCCAAAGCCTCAAGACTCCACTCAGGTGGAAAGGACACGGAGCTGTCTAAACTCCTGGGCAACTTTTCTACTCTTTTTCTCTTGCCTCTGAGACCCAGAGCAAGCATGTGTTTTGCTATGGTTCCCACAGCACAGCCAGAGTGGGTAGGTCCAACACAGCCTTCCCATGAAACCAGCCTTTCTCTGCCACTTCTTCCTTGAAGGAATCAGGATGACTGAAGGTGTCACCATCCCAAATGCTCTGCCTACTGTGCCCAGGGGCGCAATGGCTCACCCTGCCCCAGAAGCCTGAGAAGTCCTGCCTGGCCCCACACAGAGGGACAAACACCCTGGGGCTGCCCTCCAGTGACTCAGCAATCTTTGGGGCACAAGATGCTGAGTCAGAAGTACTATGCTCACAAGTCAGAAACCTGCTGACACTTCACCCCAAAAGAGGAAGAAAGCTAGATGGCTGCAGACCTCTCAAAACACACTTAGGCAAGAGGGTATGTGGCCCTCGCCTGACAAACCCTCCCCCCCTGCCCCTCTATCATCAAGAAGTTGTGACTTCCACAGCTATCTCTGGTTGCCAAAGATCAAACCAGTGCTCTCTCCTGGAAGACAGCTCCACAGCTGGCCTGGCTCACAGTCCCGGGGGAAGACTGGGACGAGGGAAGAGAGCAGAGTCTGGGTCAGAGGGATGCCCAGGCCACTCCCTGGACTTCACCCCCTAGCCTTTTCCACAGCCTTGGGGGCTGGGACATGAACACTTCAGGGAGTGGACAGTCACACCACATCCCAGATGTGGAGTACAGGTAGACATGTATTTGGGTGGCATCTCCTCCCATTTCTTCCCTGTGAGGAAACTGAGGCCCAGGAGGCACTGCATGCTCGGCTAGGTAGGGCTCACCTCCATTCTCACTGGGCCAGGCCCTTAACACACACACAGCTCTGACCCCAGGGACGGCCTGCCCTCCTTCCTCCCCACCACCCACCTCTTATCTCAGGCCTCAACAATGCAGCCATGGTGCCAGCTGTGCCTTGCAAAGGGGAGAGCAGCAGGGCCAACAGGAATATGGGTGGGAGTGCAGGCTGAGAAGAGATAGTGGGCTGCCCAAGAGGGCCCAGGAGCCCACAAGGCCATTCTGTCCAGGGAATTCACCCTCCCCTTCTTGGTGACCCAGTGTCTCCTTTGGTATGGTTTAGGCTGGGGCCATCCATGCTCCTCTCACAAGGCAGAAGCCCTACCTGTGTTCCTTCTCAACCCAAAATTGGTGCTCAGTAAGCTCAACAGCAATGAGTAAATTAGTTATTTTTAGTTATCCCATTTAAAGATATTTGGGCAGAGGACTTGGTAATGGAATAAGATCATCATGTAAAAAAGCACTTTCTTGGGCTGGGGATTTAGCTCAGCGGTGCTGCCACCTGCCTCCCAAGTGCAAGGTCCTGAGTCTGATACCTGGTTCCAATAAATAAATAAATAAAAATAAAAAGCACTATCTTTATAAATACTTTTTTCCAATGTGCTTTCCCACACATATTATTTCATGTAGCTGCTATAACCCTGTGCAAATAATTTCAGTACTCTAAGCCCCAGTTTTTCTTCTCATTTTTGTAAAATGGACACAATCATTGCCTGATTCATAGAGCTAAGGTAATGATCTGATGATATAATAGATGCTGAATACTCAACACAGTGCCTGACACAAAGAAAGCATTAAAAAAAAAAAAAGCTTTAAGGACTGGGGATGTAGCTCAGTGGCACTGCACCTGCCTGGCAAGCTCGAGGCCCAGAGTTCAAGTACCAGTACTGAAAAAAAAGGCATTAATAAAAGTAAAAAGAAATACTATTTTTAGTTTTCATGTCAATTTCATGGCATATAATAAATTAAATCTCTTACCCAGTTTTGCACACTAGGTTCAGAGCAAGGGAGAAAGGGTGAGCACTGGGCTTCCCCCACCACATGCCCCGAACACCTGCTTTTCTCCCTAGTACGCAGAGAGGGGTGGGCTGAGGTCTGGCCGACTTAGCAGAGGAACCGCAATAGACCGGTGGCAAGGAAGTCCCAGGGTGGGTGGGAAGAGGACGCCCAGTTAACATTCCTCCCCAGCGCAGCTCTCGGGGTCTCCACTGTGGCTCGCGGGGTGCGCTCATACTGAGGGGAGGCCTGAGTGTCCCCAGCCCTCTTCCTTTTCCCAGTTATCTCCAGAGGCGCTTTAGGAGCAGGGATACCCAGGGCGAGCGCGTGTGAGTGAGGATGAGGAGGGAGAGGACGCGGTGCGGGAGGAGGGAGGGCGGCCCCGGGCGCGGGGACCCATGCGGGACAGCG